ACCTCTGTCCTGTACTTTTTCTGTCTTCAATTCTACCTACTTTGGTCTTTTGAGTATATTCTTGTTGATGAGTGGAAGCTTGTGTGAAGAAAGCACTTTCCACTCTGAACTTCTCAAAGTAGCAGTAATACGTCATTTCTGTTCACATTTTTGTTGGTGAGAATTTGTCACATGACATAATCTGCATAGAGACTGTCAACTATAGAGAATCTCATGGAGGTCTGATTATCTATTGCTGCCTAACAAACTAGTATCCCAAATTTTAGTGGCTTAAAATCTTTTATTTAATTAAATTGCATGATTCTGTGAGTCAAAAATTGGGAGGAGAGCAGCCAGGAAGAATTGACTTTACTCAGTCATATCTGGAGCCTCAGCAAGGATGACTTGAACAGCTGGGTATTGAATAAGTGGGAGCTGACAAAGTCTCTCTTTCTTTCTCTCTCTCCAGGTTCTCAGTGTGGTTAGCATGTGATTCTTCAGCAGGGAAGTCTCAGAGCAGATTTTTTGCATAGTGGCTCAGGGGACAACAGACCAAAGCAAAAGCTTCCAGTTGTCTTAAAGACTAGGTCCAGAGATGGCATTAACATTACCTGTTCCATACTCTATTAGTCAAAGCAGTCACGGCCAACCCAGCTTCAGGGTAAGAGAAAATAAACCCCACTTGATTCCCTGGATGGTGGAAATGATTAACACTATCAACTGCTAACTGAAAGTTTGGAGGTTCGGGTCCACTGAGAGGCACGTTGGAAGAAAGGTCTGGTGATCTACTTCTAAAAAATCAGCCACTGAAAACCCTATGGAGCACAATTCTACTCTGACACACATAGGGTCAACATAAGTTGGAGTCAGCTTAATGACAACTTTTTTTTTTTCCCCAATGAGAAGAGAATCAAGATTTTGTGAACATCCTTCATCCAACACAGTCTCACCTCCTGCTCAAATAATTTACATTGTCCCCATGAGCAAAATATACTTACTTCTCCTCCTAGTAATCCTAAAATCTCATCTCATTATAGCATCAGCTCAAAGTCTAGGTCTTTTCACCTAAATCAGTTCAAGGAGCAGATGGAGTTTCTTGTGTATAGTTCCTAAAGTATGGTTCCTTTACAACTGAAGAACTTTGAACTAAAGAGTCAAATTATCTGTTCATCACACACTAAATGCACAATGGTAAGATAGATACAGGATGACCACACTAGACAATCTCATTCCATAAGGGGAAAATGGGAGGCACGTGACAGTCATATAGCAATTTTTAAATCCAGTTGGGGAACTTTTTCTAATTCTGTCCTTTACAGTCAAAATGATGAAGTTGAAATTGATGGCGCCAATGAAATTCTCTTTAAAACATATTAGAGTTTTATAATCTTACTGAAGTTTACTCAGATAAGTGCCACTTCCACAAATTTCTTTGAGATAGACCCTTCTCTGGCTTGGGCTGAATGTCAAGATATTGTGGAACAACACCTTTAAGTGTCCTAGAAACATGTTTGTCTGCTTGGAAAGGTGTACAAGGCATGTCCTTAAGATTCTTAGGGACCTTCTAGTCTAGCATAGTGCGCAGCAGACCTTCCCTTAATAATTTTAGAAGCTGTACGAAGCTGCCCCTTTATCTCTTTTAAGTTTCAACCAACAGTCTATAACTGAGTATTCAAACAAAGGATAGATGACAAGCTACATAGAAGTGGAAAAATGAATTCATAATTTGAGTAGGATGTTAGTCAAGATGATCTCTAAAATTTCTTCCAACTCTAAGATTCTATGAATTTGTAATAATATCTAAATTATAAGCATGAGAATCATGCAATCCAAGTTATCTTGGCTTTGTAGTGATGCAAAAAAAAAGGACTTTATTACCTTAAACACGCATTTACTTTGCAATGAACATATTGACAAAGGGAGATAACCCTTTTTGTTGGGCGTTCTTGAATCTAAATGACAAATTACAATAATTTTCAACATTTGTGTCTGATGCACAAAATAAACTAAAATTCCCAGTAGTTACATGTGATGATTAACTCAACTCAACAGAAAAATACTCCACAGGAAACTCCATGTAACTGCAAGTTTTGGCCTAAGGTATTTACAAGGAGCCCCAAACACCCAGAGTACCCAGGGACTTCTCTGTTCATGCCAGAGGAACAACAAAGCCTAACCTCCAGTGGCCAAAGGAAGATTAAAATGACCTTATTTTTCTTCTCTTCACAGGACCAGATTTTACAGAAAGTGGATGAATTACAGAGATCTGAGCCTCTGCTTAGCAGTAGCTACTCACGTTGACAACTTCTCCCTAAGTTTAGGTTGGAAGATCCTGGCTGGATGTGCTCTGGTGAGTGGACTCTAAAAGGGGAGATTATTCTGAATAATCGAAAGCCAATGAATTACAGAGTTTGATTGAATGTGATAAAGCCAGGCATTGTCAATTAATCCATAAAAGCTGAAATTAAAAAGTTATCAAATGTAAATGGTTTAAATGATAATTAGGAATCCGAACTAGAAAGTTGTAAACTGTTTACACTATAGAAACCTTGTGTGGAATGCAATTCTCATCTCCCCAGCAATACTTTCCTTTGTGTGACTACTGAAGAAGACATTTGGGATGACATCATTTGATATTTCTTGTATTCTTATTATTCATTGACCTTAAGAGTGGCTTATAAGAGATGTGAGATCCTTCCCATACCAGAGATCACAGATAAATTGTTCAAATATGGTAGAAGAATAAAAAAAAAGATGATAGATCAAAATATTGTAATGTCAGAAAAATAACTGTATTTTCATCTTCACAAAATAAGGATAAAAAAGTCCCCACAGACAAAGAATTTAAGAGCATAAGAATTGTAAGAAGCATGTAAGAGCATGTTTCTGTCTCAACCAGTTATCCAGGTTTCTGGTCTCTTCTATTTTAGGAAGAAATCCTGATGTAAATAAAACACAAGAAAATCCTGGAAAGACCAAATAGGGTCACTTTTGGGTAAAACAGAAAATATTCCCATATACATTGAATGAAGTCTACTCTGCTGTGTTACATGACAGAAAAATCATCAACATTCTCCCAGCAATGTAGAAATGAAAGCTTCCAGAGTCCCTGAAAACATCACCAAGGGAGTTACTGTTGGAAGAGAAAGTATCTAAGTGAGTATTCTGTCTTACGACAACCACATGTGTTTCAGACGAGAACTGCATTCCATAGGATTTTCAATGGCTGTGATCTTTCGAATGTAGATTGTTTTTTTCCAAAGTGCCTCTTGCTGGATTGAAACCTCCAAACTTTTGGTTAGAGCATTAACCATTTGTGCCACTCAGGGACTCCTAAATGTGTCATTAGAATCTCTAGAAGCATAAAGTGTCACCCTCAATGTCTGCAATTAATGTCTACACAGACACACACATGCTATAAGATTGAGTCAGTTTTCATATAGGTTAGACTAGATGTGTGCTGGTGACAACCTCTTCTGGTCCAGGTGCCCTCTATCAATCTTGGACTTAAATAATTTATAATATAATTACATAGTATATTACAAGACCCAAAAGTATCCATCACTTTCAGGTACGTAATCTATTGTATGCACGTCTCTGGACTTAGTGCTGAGGAACAAAAAGGGGGTCTTTAAAGGTCGGGATAATAAACCTTTAAACCATCTAGAAATAATTAATGTCATATGCTATATTCCCTTAGACTCTTCATTCTATATTTATTTATACATATTTGCATACAGTGTATATGGTCTATAGTATTTTATTTAAACCAAAATAGTGACCACTATCCCATTTCATGATCATAGTTTTCAAAGCCATGTAAATATCATTATGTAAATAATTAACGGAATATTTGATTTGAACATTATAAGATCTATTTTTTTACTACTGTAATAATTCCAAATAAACTTGTTTCTTAACACCCTTTATTCACATGATTTAATTAAAATACTTAGCATAAATTTACTTAGTTTAAAGTACAGACTGCTTTAACACTCCTATGAGCTATTGTTTTTAGGATGTACACAGAAATTTGACCATTCTAGCTGCATATTTTATATTTTGTCTTGCTTCATACTTAGTGGCTGTGAGCATTCTATTTCTGAACCTTTGCAAATCTGATCAGTACAAATATTATCTCATTGCTGCTTTAAGTTTTATTTAATTCAGTTACAATAAACATTGTTTTATGTGTTTATTAGCCATTTTATTTTCTTTTTAAGAATACACTGGGAAAGGTCTGGCCTGCCATTTTTCTGATAGAAAGTCAGCATCTTTCAGTTCAATTTATATATTATATGTTAAGCGTAATGATTTTTGGTATATCATAATTGTTGTATAAAACCCAAAAACCAAATCTGTTGCCATCAAGCCGATTACGACTCATAGCGACCCTATAGGACAGAATAGAACTGCCCCATAGAGTTTACAAGGAGCACCTGGTAGATTTGAACTGCCGACCTTTTGGTTAGCAGCCATAGCACTTAACCACTATGCCACTAGGGTTTCCAGTTGTTGTATAGATACTATCAGTATACAACGTGCTCTGAATTTTATTTATTTTTCCAATAAATGTTTAGAAAAAAATAAGAATTTGTTCTCTCATACATGAAACAAAACTATAAAATTGCAGTAACAGAACCAATGTGTTGGTGGGGCATATGAAAAGACAGAAAGATTAATGGAGAGTATAACTACCTCAGAAATTACTTAATAAATACATATGTGTGTGAACTTAATGAAACTTTAAATGTATATAAAATTTTGATCATCTATATGTCCCATAACAAAATTATATATATTTTCCTTCCCTTTACTTGAAATAGGTGACACGAAAATTTATAATCTACCTTATCCAATCTTCCTTATGTCTGAGCCAACGTCATTTAAAATTGTTCAGCATAATTATTAGTCTTTGAAGCTACTTTACACTTACAATGATGAACTGGTTATCCTGACTTCATGCCTTAGCGTCACCGAAGAAGTGGATTCTATTGTTAAATAATGAAAGTTCTCCTTGTATGAGTGTCCATCTTGTCTTGCAGTCCGCATCGCTCTTGGAAATAAACAATATGACTAATTTCACTACAATAAGTGGGTTTCTTCTCATGAGTTTTTCTGGCAATCCTGAGATAGAAATCTTATATGCTTCTTTGTTTTTAGTCTTATACTTAGTGGCTTTAATTGGCAATGTTCTCATTATCACTGCAACTTCCATGGACAATAGTCTCTACTCACCTATGTATTTCTTCCTGAAACATCTCTCCTTTTTGGATCTGTGCTATATTTCTGTGACTGTCCCAAGATCCATTTGCAACTCCTTCTTGAATAGTGGCAATATTTCCTTCTGGGACTGTATACTGCAGTGTTTTGCATTCACTGTCTGTGGTTCAGCTGAGATGGCCATGCTCACAGTGATGTCTTATGACCGCTACGTGGCCATCTGCCTTCCACTGCATTATGAAATCATCATGGATGTCAGCGCCTGTGTTCACGGGGTCGTAGCGGTCTGGATCAGTGGAGTCATCTCTGGAGTCATGCATACAGCTGCTACTTTCTCCATCCACTTCTGTGGTGCCAATATCATTCACCAGTTCTTCTGTGATGTCCCCCAGCTCCTGAAACTCTCTTGTTCCAATGACTACATCAGTGAGCTTGGGGTTGCTGGCTTCCTGTCCTTGGTGGCCTTTCTTTGTTTCCTCTCTATTGGTCTCTCCTACACACACATATTCTTTACCGTGCTGAGGATCCCATCTGGTGAGGGTAGAGACAAAGCCTTTTCTACTTGCTTGCCCCACTTATGTGTTGTCATATTATTTATCTCTACTGGAGTTTTTGAGTTTCTAAAGCCACCTTCTGACTCTCCGACTGCACTAGACTTTTTGCTAACTGTTCTTTACACTGTTGTGCCCTCAACACTCAATCCGATGATCTATAGCTTGAGGAATAAAGCCATAAAGGTAGCTCTAAGAAAGGTTTTTAAAGGAAGAAAATCCTGCCTGTTTTGCTGAAACAAGTCTATTAATTCCTGGTTGGGAGACAAATTCAAAATACATTAGAAAAACCTAACAAAGTCAATCAAGACATTAAAGCAAATAAAGAACTCTTAACAGGGAAAGTTATTATATAAATGAACTGTCACTGAGCAATAAAAACATTAAAACATAGAATTACACATATAAGTTACTCATGTTAATGCAGTATATTTAAATTTCACCCTTCAAAGCCAGGTGTAGAAAAATATAAATTTCTTTAATTTTACGGACTCCAACTTAATTTCCCTTCCCTACCCCTTTTTATCAGGGTGACAGAAAACCCAATCATTCTGAGATTCCTTCCTCATTTTTTCCCTGAGTTACACTGCAGTTTGGGATATTACATAGTATACAAGCATTGAGGAGAGTCACCTGGCTCAATGTCCTCTGGGAATTTAGGGGTCCGCTAAGATTCTATTAAGGTTTCACTCTGCAAGGGAAACACACTCAGTGCTTCAATCAGTAATAGACAAAGGTCACCCTTGAAAAGTCTCATTACATCAGTGACATTGCCTCTTCAGGGGCAGTGCAGTACTTTGTCACTCGTATGGATGATTTAACTAATACTGACAATCTGAAAGAGACTCTGAAATACATGCTTTTCAGTTGTAAAATGAATAAGAGAAGAAATACAAACAATATTTAAAATAATAATATGCTAGGGAAAAGAAAAGGTGCATTTGAAAAATAAGCAAAATATTATATAAGTATAATGTATAATGATTGAAATTTAAAACTCCACAGATGGAGTAAGCGGCAGATAAAACACAAAACGAGAATTAGTAAACTGAAGATAGAGCCAAGTTTTTTCCCACAGAATGAATAAAAATAAATGAAGTTATTTTGAAAAGCATGAAAAATATATTTGAGTCTCAAAATGAAAAGGAGGGTGCAAAATTTATCTAATAATAGTTCCAGAAAGATCTATTGATCTATTTGTCTATTTTTTAAGGGAATGGGTGACAGACAATATTCAGAGAAACAACTTCTAAGATTTTTTACAGAATTAATAAATACACAGGTCTTCAGGTTTGAGAAGCACAATAAAAATCGGTCAGTATAAGCAAAATGAATTCACATGTAGTTATTTAATACTGAAATTATAGAATAACAAAGAAATTTTTTAAATCTCAATATAAAAAGAGATTTAAAATAATACTAATTTTATATTCTAGAAGCTTTACTGTTTTACTTTTCACATTTAGCTCTCTAATCCATAGAAAATAATTTTTGTGTATGGTGTGAGGTAGGTGTCATTGCTCATTTTATTCAAATAGATATCCAATTAAACCAGCATCATTAACTGAGAAACAAAATATTTTCCCCACTGAATTGCAGTGATATCTTTGTCATAAATCAAGTGACTGTATATATGTAGGTTTCGCTAATCTGTTCATTTGATCATGTGTTCATGTTTAATTGATCATGTTTATAATAGCAAGTTCTATTAATTACTGTGAATTTATAATAATTTAATATCTGCTAGTTTAAATTTCCTAATGCTATTTTTTTCACATTTTCTGAGCTACTCGATATCTTTTTCATAGCCATATAATATACTTTTAAGATCGTTTTTTCAATTTTCAAAAAATATCTGCCAAGATTTTCATTAGAATTACATTTAATCAATAGAGCAAATATTGAAGAATTGTCTTCTTTCAGAGATTGTTTCTTCTAATCCATGAACAGAGTACTCTCCTATATTTATTTAGGTCTTTAAAAATCCTCTCAGAAATGATATATAGTTTCAGTGTAGTGGTTTTGTACATGTTTTATTAGATTTACATCTATGTATTTGATGTTACTGTTAAATTTCATTGTCTATTTTTGTGGCCATATTTAGAAAGACGATTAATTTTTGTATATTGACCTTTCATGCAGTGATCATGCAAATTTACTATAAATTCTAATAGATCTTTATAGATTCTTTGAATTTCTACTACACATCATGTCATCTGTGAATAAAAGACTTTATTTTTTCCTTTCCAATTTTTAAAACTTTTCTTTCTTTTTCTTGTTTTTATGTTTGCTAGGAACTGAAGGCCAATGTTGATTAAATGGTGATAGTGGATATTCTTATTTTGTTCTCAAATTATACAGAAATACACCCAATATTTCACGGAGGTGACTAAGGCGGATCCTAATGTTAGGACATCATCAGTGGGCTCATGGATGTGCCCAAAGGAGAAAGAATTGGCTTTAAATATATGACATAACAAGAAGAGAGATGCCAAAGCAAGTCATTCTGCTAGTTAAATATAACCATTATTACCCTTCTCATCTCGGGCCTCCTTAACTTCCACACTAAGAAATCAGAGACAACCTAGAAAGTGTGGGAAAAGGCACGTAAGTGTGAGGCTGATATAAATATATAAAATGTGGCAATAACTTCTACACTCTCTGAAGACTTCCAGCTTGTAATAGACCTGAGTTGGGTGAGGAGGGAAGCTTAATTTTGCATGAAGCTCAGTGTTTTTGATTGTTTATATTGAGTTGAGTATAATTAATTACTAAAGTAATATTAATCTTGTGACTAACTGTTATTATAGGACTTTATTAAATATGAATGAGAAGATAAACTACAGGTGTTCCAGCAGCATGGAAAATATTAATATATTTAAATGTCCCAGTACATTGTTGAAAACAATATAGAAACCAGCTTACTATTAGGGGAGGTTAAGATCTCTATGTGACACCAATACAGGCAGGCCAGCCAGAAGCTTAACAAGAAGATCAGGAAAAGAGACAATCAAAGAGAACCCAGCTAAAACCAAATTAATCCCTGGTGGTCCAAAAGGGCATGCCCTCTGAGAGCTAACCAAGAGGGAACTTCTTAGTTACTTGTGCCTGGCTGAACATGGAGCAAACTCATAAACTCTCTGAACAGTGAAAGTAGTCTCAAGTCTCACATATATTCAACATAAATAAATGAAAATCTTTCTTTTCAAGGGCTTAAGCACACCTCTTATCCAATCGATTGTTGACCACTAAACAGTGCTGACCCTGGAGAGATCCCTAGGAAGCCAAGCTTAAAGGCAAAAAGGAGAGAAAAAACCAGCAGACATATCAGAAGCTTCACATTGTGGAATAAGTAGACATCACTAACCTAGTCCAATCAAGTCACTAAATAAATAAGAAAGTAAAATAAAATAAAATACCAACAAACCCCAGGGGTGGAGGAGAATCAGTATCCAGGGTTGCTACAATATATTACCTAAAATGCCTGATTTTCAATAAATAAATTTGAGACATGCAAAGACATAAGCAAGTGTGACCTATACACAGAAAAAAAAAGCAAGAAACAAAAAGTGTCTATAAGTGAGCCCAGATATTGTACTTGGCAGACTAAGACTTCAAAGAATCTATTACGAATATATTCAAAGAACTAAAGAAAACATGTTTAAAGAATTAAGAGGTGGCATCACAATAATCATCTCATATGATTGATTGTCATCATACCAAAAAACCAAACCAAACTCATAGCTATCAAGTTGATTCCAACTCATAGTAACCCTACAGGACAGAGCAGAACTGCCCCATAGGGTTTCTAAGGCTGTAAATCTTTACAGAAGCAGACTGCCGCATCTTTCTCCTGCAGAGTGGCTGGAGGGTTCAAACCACCAACATTTCAGTTAGCAGCCGAGTGTTTAACCACTGTGCACCAGGGCTCCTATCAATTGTCATCATGCTGCCTCTCAAGTCTTCAAATATGAGTCAAAATCAATTTAATGGCACACAACAACAACACAATGACAATGTCTTATCAAATAGACAATATCAATAAAGAAATAGAAATTATTAAAAAAAAAGAATCCAATGGAAATTCCAAAGGAGAAAAGTGCAAAAATTGAAATAAGAAATTTGCTAAAGGGGCACAACAGTAGATCTGAACTGGTAGAAAAAATAATTTAAAAAACTTGAAGATAGACTGATAGAAATAATGCAATCTCTAGAACAAAGAGGAAAAATAGAATGAAAAGAATTATCCAAGCACACATACCTATGCATAATGGGAACAAAAAAATTAAAAAGACAGAAAAGGAAAGAAAAAAATATTCCAATAAGTAATGGTTACAAACTTCCCAAATGTGATGAAAAACATTAATCTACACATCCAAGAAGTTCAATGTGCTCCAGTAGAATAAATACATAGAGATACACACCCAGATGTATCATAGTAGAACTGTTGAAAGACAACAGGAAAATCTTGAATGTAGAAAGAGAAAAATCACTCATCATATACAAGGGAAAATAAAATTAAGAGCTGAATTCTTATCAGAAACAATGAAGGCCATAAGGCAGTAAGACGACAAATTGAAAGTGTTAAAAGAAAAACCTGTCAAAAAAGAATCTCATATGCAGCAAAACTATTTTTCAAAAATGAAGGTGAAATGAAGACATTCTCAGATAAGAAAAACGAATAATTTTTTGCTAGCAGACCTACCTACCAGAAATACTGAAGAAAGTTGTTCAGGCTGAAGGCAAATAACACCGGACAGTAATTCGAATCTCAGTATAGGTAATTATATAGGTAATTATAAATGACAGTGTAATAGAATATTTCTTCTTTCTTCTCTTAACTGATTTAAAGAATAATGCATTAAAAATATGTATGTTCCTCAGAAAGCTAGAAATAGACATACGATTAGATCCAGCAATCCCACTCCTAGGAATATATCCTAGATAAATAAGAGTCGTCACTCGAATAGACATATGCACACCTATGTTCATGGCAGCATTGTTCACAATAGCAAAACGATGGAAACAACGTAGGTGCCCATCAATAGATGAATGGATAAACAAACTATGGTACATACACACAATGGAGTACTATGCAACGAGAAAGAACAACAATGAATCTGTGAAACATCTCATAACATGGATAAAACTGGAGGACATTATGCTGAGTGAAATAAGTCAATCATGAAAGGACAAATATTGCATGAGACCTCTATTGCAGAAACCAATGAAAAAGTTCACACACAAAATATAACAATCTTTGTTGGTTTCCAGGATGGGAGGGGTGGGGGGAAAATACTAAATAGGCAATAGACAAGTGGTATCTTGGGTGAAGGGTGAGACAGTACACAATACAGGGGAAACCAGCACAACTTGTACAAGGAAAGGTCATGGAAGCCCC